TTGTTATGGTTGAGACTTTTTTCAGCCCTAAAGGCTTTTTCTTGTCAACTTAGGTAATTTTTAATGTATTTCTTGGCAAGGTTGTTTGATGTTTGATGGCCCTCAAAGGACCAGTTAGCTTCTTAAGTAAACTCTTTCGTCACTGAACTTTCCAGCATGGTCACTGCCTCTATACCTCAGGGTGATCTTCTCAGGCCTGTTATTGTAGCACCTGACTAATCGGGAGAAAAATTACAACGTTTAAAGCATTGAAGCTAGTTGAACGGTTCTTTCCTAACGTCTCCTGGTTTTACGCCAAAGACGTTGATATGAAAAATACCTTCTTTTTTTGCAGACTCAGTTGCGTTGGTTATTTAAGGTGAGGAGATTGGTTCGTGATACTTGCCCTAATGCTTATTTTTTCATTTTTATTGGGTTGTAATATATTTGTTGGCAAGGTAGTTCGACATCCGATGACCATGAAAGGATCGTCTGCTAAAGTAAAATCTTTACTGACTAAAGTTTACAGCAAACGTGATTGCCTCTATACCTCAAGGTGATATTTTCTGGCCTGTTATTGTAGCATCACACTGATTGGAAGGAAAACTACAACTCCTGGTACTAAAGCACCTTTTTTTAGACTTAGTTGTTTTGGTGATCTAACGTAAAGAGATTAGTTCGTGACGCTTACGCGTTGGAAACTATCCCGTTTGCTAAGGTTTATTTTTCCTTTACTGCTGTTAAGTTTGCCCAGCGTAAACCTGATAAGGGTCAGTGATTCCTGGTTACCTACTTAGAGTCAAATGTATTGTATAGGATAGTCAGTCTCCGGGGTTTCCAGCCTTGCGATGACCAACTTCACTTGTGTCATTTTTCAGTGAATAACTGACTTTGTTTAATAGTGGCCAGCTTTATATAGTGTTTTAGTCGACGAATCGTTGCTGGAAGTGATAGTTTAATTGTATTTGTTGGAAAAGTAGTTTAACTTAAAGTGGCCCTAAAAAAATCTAATAAGATTGATGGTTAAGTAGAGAACGTAAATACTCATAATGGCTATGAAAGGGTCAGTGATGAAACTTCCAGCTGTTCCTTATTATTATTCTTGATAATAAAGAGCTGGCTGTGGGTAATTTGATTTTTACCCTTGAAGTCTCTGTGTATGGAGACCATGCTAGAGGGAGGTAAGCCACTGACCAAAGAATATCTCGTCTTCGGGTCATTCTCTGGATAACCAACCACTCATTGTTAGCGAGAAAAGTGGGCCTGGAGAATACCTGCTTCGTGAGTATGAAGTTGGGATGACCACTGAAAAGGAGGCCGTTGTGGCTGCCCGTATTTCTGAGGGCTATCTTCTCTGGCTTGCATTTGTAGAAAAAAATTCTCTGACTGCACCAGGCCGGATGGTGAAACGGCCACAAAACTGAGCAGTTGGTGCAGGTTGTGCTCTGGACAAACATCTTTTCTCATAATTTGCTGGAGACGTTATTGTTTGTATTATTTTTTCATTAGTTCCACTTGTTAATCCTGGTGATTCAGGGTACAATTAGACGTAGGTCACTTGTCCAGCAAAGAAAAGCGTCGTCGGTAGCCAGCATACCCAGCTACATAACTTCTAACTCTATGCTTCATGCACTGCCAAAGATCGACTGTGAAGATCAGTTCTTTGTTTAAGGATATAGTAACCATATTACCTTAATTCTATTGCAAGTTGCTTCGATTTTACTTTCATGCCACCTAGTGTATCCTACAGAACTGAAGTGAAAAGCTAGTGTATTTTTACAAAAATTCAAGCTTATTTGTTGCCATTATTATTGATTCTTTTATAATAAAAGCTATGATAAAACCATCTACAAAGTGTCAAGAATTAGTATGCAAAATTTAAACAAGATCGGTTGAGTAGTTTTTGCGATTAGCGATTACAACGGTTTTAGAGATTTTGCTTTGTATATTAGTAAGATTATCTTTAAGATTTGTAGTTCAGACTTATTATACATACTGGCGTTGTAACAGCTGCAAAAAACACCTCTTTCAATTTGGTATACAAATATATTTGCCTTAAAAAGCTATTAGTGATGAACACAACAAATTACTCAGCTGCTTGTACAACTCAAAGTGAAAAACTAACGTCTCATTGGTTTCCATAGCACTGTCAGTAAAAGGTGGTGTTGTTGCTATAACTTTTTTATAAGCGGATAGTACTCCCATAGACTTTTCAAAGTGACCAGCTCTCTTAGTCGGTAAGAGGGCCTTTGTTTCACGTACCAAGTACAGCTATTACTCCATACAGAGCTACAGTGCTGCTTTACAAGTAAAGCAGTAGCTCCCCCACTACATAGAAGAGTAGTGGCAAACTATGAGAGAGCTGCTCTTCCAATAATAGGAAAGCACAGACACCAATGTATGAGTCAGTTGCCGTATCACCACATGCCTAGCACTTTTCTCAATTTGTTCTCCATGCAAGATATGTTGTCATCTTGCATATAGCATTAGATATCGATCAAGCTAAATTCTGTAAAATCTTGTGTACATGAAAACTGGTATTGGTAAATCTTTGCGTCCTCGTCTTTGTGTGAAAAAAGCCGATTTAGCTTTATGAGTTTCCCAATCAAATATCCCAACAGGACACTTCCCCAACAAGTTTTGACATTGCAAGGTTGACGCATCATCCGTTAATTTGAGCTCAATACTTTTGAGCAATTCTTGACCTTGGACAATCTTCTGTAGTTTTACATACACATATGACTTGATCAGACAATTCCTAATCAAAAATCTAAAGGTTCAATTTTTTCTGATCATACAACCACTTAATTAAACGCTGCGTTTGTAATTCGAATTGACTGGGTACAGATCTCAATTTTCAGAGAAAAGCTCTAACTTTTCAAACTATGAAAAAAAATTATTAAAAATTTTCACTGATACATTTAACGACTTTTTGTAAGCCTAAAAAAGACTATGAGTGACTGTGGTTGGATTCTAAAAAATTTCATTATAACTAAAAACTGCAGGATCATGCAAACTTCTTCACTGACCATCAAGGTTGTAACACGACTACCACATTTCCAAATGTAGACTCTACGATTGAGCGATTACGTTAAATAAATTGTCAAAGAGTTGTGGTGCATTACGATATGTGTTCCTACAGTTATAATACATGCACTTGCAGTTGTACAATAGTGATGATAAAGATTTTTTACTCCATCACCTAGTACCGTAAGTAGTTGCGTTAATATAACAAAGCCAGTCTTTATATTTACTACAGTCATTAAAAACTATGCTTAACTACTATAAATGACCGTTTAACAAACTTCTTTCACTGGCAACTTTGAATTTAATGAAGTCTTTTTACATAAATCAAAATTGGTATTTACTAGAAAAACATCTCAAAAACCTTAGAATTGTTAATTCAAAGTTTGTCCATCTATAAGCTTATGATGTTAGGATAATCTAATTAGAACCTAAAATTTAAAAGATATTAGAACGAAATTGTGTAAAAGCTGTCTTTTAATTATCTTATTTTAGTAGATGTAAGAACACATTTACGATGTAATAAAAAAACTATTGTTTAGTTGACTCATTGTGTATACAAGCATGTCGTTGTATAATGGAGATAGTAAAAAGTTTTAGTAAGTAGGATGTTGACGAAACTTATTTAAACTGCGCTGATGATCATTAATCAGGGTACCTTTTTAGTATTAGTTGTACGTGGATGCTTAATTCCTTATATCACACATGCTAAATTTAGGTAGGTGTCTATGAGGTACTCTAGAACAATGGACCAATGTATAAATACTTTCTTCTGCTCAGAATTAACGTTACGATTCCAGCACTTTACTATGATATTATATATACTGCACCAAAGATGGTAATAGTAATTATAGTCTTTACACTTTGTAACTGTAAAGACTATAATTACTATTACCATCTTTTTTGCTTACTCCATTACTATAATGCTGCAAGTAGCCCTTTGTAATAAACGTATTATATAGAAATTTATAGCAACAGAGTAGTTATTGAATAAAATTCTTACTTTAGGAAAATAAAAATGTTTATTCATTGTTCAGCTTAGGACAAATTGTCATGATTAATCAAAAATGTCTTAGAAAGTAGAAATGGTTAATAATCCTTTGCTGTTGGAGTTAATTCCCACCTGGTTAGCAGAATAAAAAGTAGTCATTACTTGTCTATTGTTGGCAGTATTAGTTGTTATCATATAAGTATTCATCAAAAAAATTTTGTCGTATTGCCTGAACAAAGAAAGAATTATAAAATAAGTCTGACTAAGGTTCAGAAACAGACGTCACGGAACTAGTTTTTTTTTTTTTTTGTAACTCTTATGCACATTCTTTGAGATACTAAAAATATCTTTTAACTGAATGGGTATTTGTTAGATCGTACTTGTTTTTTTTTTTTTACAAAAGTCCACCTCTTTGATGCATATTCAAAGTCAAAATTAATCATGTTATAATACTGAATGCTACGTAAATCAAATTAATAATTATTTATTACTTTTTACTTAAAAATACATTAAAATGAAAACGTTATTGTGAGCTGCCAGAAAAAACTTGAATATAGTTTAACTGATGTTTGTAAGATCAGATTTTTGTAAAAAATTTAAAAAGCTTATTATTGTGATGTTGCAGAAACTTATTGGTGTCAGTGAAAGTTACTCCCACGTTATTTGTGAGCTTTTTTACCTTCTAAGAACAATGCTTATTAATAAGATTATTTTTTCTTATTAATCATTTTCATGCTTAGCTCCTGTTATTTTTAAAAATATTATTTTTCTAACAGTTTGTCATTAACTGTAAGTTATAATTACATCTTTAACTTGACATTTATTTCTAGTTTACTATTAAAATTACAAAGTAAGCTTAGTAATCTATTTTGTCATAATTACTATTATAGACGCTACACTCATCATCATATATTTGTTTGTAATTTATTTCGGCAATCATAGAAATAATTTTAGTATACTACACAGCTTAAATTGATTGCTTAATAATGCACATTTTTTCTTACAGTGAACTGCAGAATAATTTAGCTGCTGCTGCTGATGATCTGAATAATGCTTCATCATATGTTTTATCGTCGATTCGCTTTCCAATTCAACTGTCAACTACATTAGAACGATTCATGTCTACTTTTTGTTCGTTGATTGGTACAGGAGTAAATTTAGCAGGACAAACAACAAACGATACTCGTTCAAGAATTATTGCTTCTCTTAAAACAGTTAGTACTAATGCTATAAATCTACTATCGACTATTAAATCTATTGCAGTAGAGCCCATTGTTCCCAATAGAAGAAATCAACTTTCTTTGGTTGGTCGCTCTTTGACTGACGCTATTAATTGTTTAATTAATGATTGCATATCAGAGACTCCAGGACAAATTGAGTGTGATAACTCTGTAAGAAGTATCCAATCAATGATCCCTCTACTTGAAAATTCATGTGAACCAATATCAGATTGTTCTTACTTTAAATGTTTAAATATTGTAATGGAAAAAAGTAAAAGCTTAGGTGATGGTATGACTGGTATCGCTAATCATGCTAAGAAGTCTGAGCATGACCTATTTTCCAAAGCTATTAAAGAAGTTTCATATTCCATTTGTGGCTTGATTGAAGCAGCTGCTCAAGCCTCGTATCTAGCTGGAGTGAGTGATCCATTATCCCTTTCCGCAAAATCTGGATTAATTGATCAAAAGCATTTTTCAAGAGCAGTGGAATCAATCCATTCAAGTTGTAATGTAATATGTAATCCAGCGGTGTCTCAACAACAAATTCTAGCTGCTGCTACATCAATTGCTAAACATACAAGTGCTCTATGTAATGCATGCCGCTTAGCTTCAAGCAAGACTAATAATCCAATCGCTAAACGACATTTTGTTCAGTCAGCTAAGGATGTTGCTAACTCAACAGCTTCTTTGGTAAGAGAAATAAAAGTTTTGGATGCAAACTTTTCCGATATAAATCAGGTAGAGTGTATAAAAGCAACAAAACCATTACTAGAAGCTGTGGATAACCTTTTAACTTATGCTAGCTATTCAGAATTTAGTAGTCAACCAGATAAAATATCGACTGCAGCTGTAAGTACTCAAGAACCTATAATTGAAGCTGGTAAATCTATAATTTCAAGCTCATGTGCTATGATACTTACTGCAAAAAGTCTTTCTGTTAAATGTAAAGATCCACCCACATGGCAGCTATTAGCCAATCACAGTAAAAGTGTCAGCGATTCTATTAAAGCTCTAGTTTCTTCGATGCGTGAGAAGGCACCTGGGCAGAAAGAATGTGATTTGGCTATCACAAAATTAACACAAAAATTACAGGACCTTGATACAGTATCTTTAAAGATACTTTCACAAACGTTAGTTTCACAAAATAAGAATTCTTTTCAAGGATTTATAGATCAAATGAACAAAATTATTTATGAGTTACGGGAAAGAATCAAATTTTTACAAAATGTTGCTAAGTATGAGGCAGAAAATGTTGGTCAAGTGGTATTGCAAATCATTTCGTTCTTTGACCCACTAATAGATAGTGGAATAGAAATGATTTCTCATTTGATGAAATCAAAACAACAAATTTTTCTGTTAGATCAGACTAAAACAGTACTTGAATGCACACTTCAGCTTATTTTTGTAACTAAAGAGTGTGGGGGAAATCCTAAAGCAACCAACCTCCACGCAGAGTTGGACGAAAGCGTATATTCAACTAAGGAATCTCTTCAAGAATTACAAAGTACTTTTGAAAATATATCTATATCCAATGGCACAGTTACAGGTTTAACCGATCTCATATTTCGGGCTATTAGACAATTACAAGAAAATGTCTTAACTTCACAAGATTCATTTGATTCTTTTGTTACTTACCAAGCCCGCATTATAGAAGCTGCAAAAGATATATCACGCATGGCACTTGAAATCGTAAGAGTATTCGTAAATAATCTTATAACTTATCTTTATAAAAATTAAAAATTTCTATTATCATTCTTATATTTTTACGTCCGTAGCAAACATAATGTGATCTATACTGTTTTTTAAAATGCAACGGGAAGAATTTGATAAAAGAAGTATACGGGCCCCAACAAACATTTTCACGTGTTGACTTAAATTTTTTGTTAGCAACGAATGAAAGAAACAAATTTTATAAATAGTTAAGAAATCCCTCAGTCTTTTAAATTTTTTTTTTTAGTAACTGTAAACTCAAAATAAAATTATAACTAGAGTAGAAATAGTACAAAAAAAAAAAATTAACAATAATCAAGATCTTAGAAATGAATTGGTAAAAAAATTGTTGAATATAAGAAGGTTTGAATTTATTTGATACAAGCCTTAACTTTATAAATGTATATTGTACACTCTCCTAAAGTTCCTGTGAATGTGTAAAGATCTTGTAAAATCCCGTTTATTAAGGTTTCAGTATTAATATTAGGTTAAAACACATCGAATAAATTAAATGTAGTTAAGTGACATTGAAAAATACTATTTGTTGATTTTTTATGTCATTGTGAGAAAGTATAAATGTTACTATAGTATTTTTGTATTCTCTTAGTTTTTGTGCACATGCATGATAAGGGCTTAGATATTTATTCTCTCTCTTACTTTTTTCTTTTATTATACCTTTTTTTCCAAGTAGATGAGTTTTCACTATGGGCCCCAGTCACATAGTTTCTCTAGGACAACTTGATCATCTATCCTATATGCTGCTATTTTTAGAGAACAGCAACTGTCACAAGTAATCCTTAGCATTTAGAGAAATTCAATAAAAGGATCTGTTGCATTAATTAACTTTACTTACCATTTAAACATTTTTTTGAGCTAATCATAGCCTTACTAATGCCTTTTATACTTAGAGACACCCAATCTGAGTTAAAAAAAGGCTTCCTTACTTATTAGAATGTGATAAATAGACAGCTATTACATAAAAGTCTTATCAAGCTTTAACAACCAGTATTGTTGAAGAACAATATATCATAAGATATTTTATGCTTAAAAGAATTATTTACAAAAACTGAATCTGGGGTTAAATTTTCTATGACTGCCTATCCCTTTTGATAACTCTCATATAATGAAAGATATTAGAAATGTACCATTACGTTATCCGATGATTTTCAACATGTATAAAGTTTCCATTACAGTCCTCAGGAATCCTTAAGTTTGCTGACATCCTGTAATGTCTTTCACTCTTCACGATGAATATTTTCTACTACTATCTATTTTTCTTTTTTTCAAAGCAACTATTATGTTCAAACTTCTAAAAAAAGGACGTAGCTTATAGATTAGTATAACAAACATATAAATTTGATGTTTGTTCATCAGAAGCTAATCGTCAGCCCAAAGACCCTATTTGCTCTTACTTACAGTGTACTTTTCTTTTAAGTTATTAACTCAGCGTTATCGTGTAAAGCTTTACTAAATAGTATGTATAATATGGTGTTAATGAGTCATCCACCAAGCTGATGTTCACCTACGGTTAGAATTTCTGTCTTATGTATAATGCAGTAGTAGCGTGTTGTATTCATTTCTTCATCTCACGTCCTTGTAAAGGTCCTGGCCATTTGTTATCTACTTATCTTTGCTAAGTATTTAACTTATTTGTTAAAGCTAAAATTTTATTTCTATCTATGTAATCTAGAATTTTGAAAAATTTGAATTGAAATAATAAATTTAATGAACTACCGAATTATGTCATACCTAATCATTTAATAAATTTGTTAAAGCTAGAACTAATTTATTCTTACAAACCATATGACTGATAAATTTAAAAGTTTTTATTTATAGTGTTTTAACAATTCAAAGTTCTTGTTAGCTCAACAATTTATAGTTTTTTTCACTTAACTTTCTTTTTTAATGGTTAGTTAGCTGCTGCTTGCGTGCATACAGTCTCAAGATTTAACAAGTTTAACCACAACGATGATTCTAATTCTTCTCGAAAGTACTCGTAGTGATAATTATGATTAGGCTGCTTTCAACGTTAGAATCAAAGTCAACAGCCCTTTTCTTCTTATTCCTTTTTGATTCACTTTTTAGGTTTGTCTACAGTGGCCTGATTTGCTTGATTTTCTTTTCTCACAGCTTAGTCGTCAACATAAGTCTTACGTATGCTTGAAGTGCACGCTTGTAATATGCAGCTTGATAACCAAATTAAGTCTTACAGGCACTTAAAAGACGCAACTAAAATTACTCTCTAAACTGTATAGTTACTTAAGAGCACTTAATGAAAGAGAAAAGGCAAATATTGGTGTGTATAAGGAGTTATTATACTGCAGCATTTGAGAAGGACACATTCGATTAGAGATCCAAACGATGAATCATAGCTTAACCTTATCACTCTCGATCGGCATAAGTGCAGCCGTAATTGTAGAGAAATTGCTGGTAAAGACCACTGATCTCTTGAATTTTAAATTAGGTATAAGTTGCTGTTGAAATTATGTATGATATTTTTAATAGATATGCGCAGTCAGGAATATTTAAATTGTTAATTGTTCTCATTCCTGGATAAATTAATATTGTAAGATGAGTAAATTATAAGATTTTTTGGAGAATGCACACAGAATTAAAGTTTTGTGATGGTAGTTTGTTACCTAAGAAGTAAGTTATTTGTTATGCGATTGGTGGAGCCAGTATGCAGCTCAAAATTTGAAGATCACTGAGCATTTGCTTTTTATACTTCAAGAACGAAACTATGTGCTTTAAAGTAATAAATACAAAATACATGACGTACGATGTTACACACTTATATTCAAAAATTTTTTTATTATAATAACGTTATGTATCGTTTAACAAGCTTTATCATTGTACTATATGTATTAGTAAGGAATAACTAAATTTGTATGAAAGTACTTCTTGTAACTGTTTTAGATTCAAACTTGAACCTAAAAGAGTTAGATAAGCTTTTTATATTCAGCAATATTTAAGGTTTTATGTTTGCTATGTTACTATTGTATAACTACAAAAATAGATATTTCTGGACTGTACCACGTGTCCGTTAAGTTATAAAGAACTCCACTAAATTTTGAAGTTTTTCGTTTATTATGTAGATAAAAAAATCGTAGTACTGTTAATACTGTTTCGCAGTATAACCACAAAATATTAAATCAACTTTCTTTAATAAATTTTTTAAAATTACGAGAAAATCGTTATGAAGTAGTTATAACATTAACATTAGCATATTAAAGTAGACCTCTTATTTAAATTTAAGTGAATCAAAATATACTAGTTAATATTAAAAAAGTGTTAAAGGTAATCTAAGACCTTCCAACATTATCTGAAAGGGCAAAGTGGCCGTACTGTCTGGTGATTCGAAGAATACAAAAAAAAGCAATAATGTTTACAATTTTCTATATAAAAAAAGGTTCTGTGAGTTATATCTTGATTAAAAATTGTTGAATACACTTTTTTATGGTCAATAAATAGGAACACTACTAAGAAACCACCAAGATCTTAAAAATTTTGGGAAGGATGGACCTTGATAAATTATTCGTATAAGAATGGGTGAATTACCAAAGACAACTCCAAGTTCTTGTACAGTAATAGAAAAATAGTCATTACAACTGACAGTACGACGAGACAGTACACAGAAGCCTAGCTTTGTCATTTAAGCCTAAAAAATGTGACTAAAATCTTATTATAGAACTTCTCAAGTACATTAAACTTTGCATTCTTAGTCGATACTTAAATAACTCTTTGCACTAAGGCTTACTAGGTTCTTTCTTGTATTACAAGTATAATCCTCACTTAATCTAGAATCAATAGAATTAACCTTGTAAGACAGGTTCAACATAACACGAAAAAGAAAATTATTGCTGTGTCTTTAAAAAATATGAACTATTTAAATTTTAAGTCCAGGTATTATTATTTTTGTCAGAGCCTTTTGTCAAGTTAACACAAAAATTAACAATTAAATTGTAAACAATTATCAAAACACAAACAAAGTACGAGAATCATTCGTTGGTCTCATATACCTTTAGATATATTTTTTAACTGTATTCATATACGGTAAGGTCCTAAGGTTTCCAGCGTTTCCGCATTACATTAATCAGAGACACAAAACTAACCTATCATTACATACCAGATTTTTAGTTACCCACCCACAATGAAAGATATCGAGTAATTTCATTTTATTACAAAGATATAGCATTTGAAAGTCAGATAGTTAATTAAAAATTCAAAATGGATAAAATTGAGTATCGAGCTGTGATCAAACTCTTAACGAAAAAAAGCAACATGCCTGCCAAAATCGAACATTGCTTTGATGCTGTATGCGGGAAATCTTCTCTTTCGTGCTCCGCCGTCAAAGAATGGACAAAACAATTTTGTTTGGGAAGACAATCAGTTGAAGATAAACCTTGTCCAGAACGTCTATCCAGGCCATTCCTGATGAAAATATTGAATTTGTGGAGCAGAAAGTACTGGAAGGAAGATGGCTTAAGACTTAAGAATGAGCAGCTATGACGGGCAAATACTGTGCTTCCCTGTTGCATTAGCTGCGGGATGCTATTAAAAAAGAACGTCAAGGAAAATTGTCACAACAAGTGTTTGTGCTTCGTGACGATGCACCGGTTCACATATCAGATGTTTCAAAGGCTGCCATTCAAGAATGCGGTTTCACTGAGCTCGATCATCCACCATATAGTTTTGACTTGGTCCCAAGTGACTACTATTTATTTTCAAAATTGAAATCGGACTTGCGAGGAAAAAAATTTAATACTGATAAAGAAGGGAGTTCATCGGTTTTGTCACATTTTCAAGGGAAAAATTTAGAATTTTTTTTTAACGGTACATAAATATTGAGCGCTATGAAAACTGAGAAATGTATTGAAATAAAGGGTAATTATGTTAAAAAATAATAAAAGTGATTTGAGATTTTCCCTTTATTTTATAGTTCAGGCTGGAAACTTTTGGACCCCACTACGTGACTATAT